CCATGAGTTACGGGGCTATTTGAAATGTAGTTACTTCATCAACAGAATATAGTGATAGGTGTATTATGTTTGAAAGTGTAAATCGTTCTTGGCATTTCAGTGCAAGGAAGGTAAGCAGCCCCCGAGTATAGAAGACTGGGGTACCCTCACCTACATCACAGGAGGAACCACGTAGGGTAAATATATACTGAACAATACTACTTTAAAAGCTCCCCTTTTTCAACCATATCCAATGCCCAATGTATTGAGCAGTTAGTATGGACAATACTATCGTGGGTGTCGTATGCTGCAGGTCATCGCGTATTTCACGTTGTCGCCGTCTCAGTGTCGTCATGGGTACTGAGGCTGGACTAATGGCACACCCTCCCTGCCTCTCCCCCGACCCTCGAGTATCAACCACCTTCCCTCACACCCCAGAAATAACGTCCCGTTCACCCCACCCTTATGTTCGCCCTGTCGTGATCTTCTGAAAAGAAAGCATGCTGGCCGCTTCAATAACAGCTAAATACTTCCAAACGTCAGGGTATCAGCTTGAAACACGCTGACTAAGGAGGTATCTTTCACTGATATAACAGTCAGGTATCGGTGACAGCTTCACGTGACAATCCACCATCAAGGGTCCGAAGTCTTCATCTTCTAATGCACGGAGGATTTCGTCATATCACTGGGTAAACATACTTGTGCAGTGTTTTAACTCTCTCTATGCACGCTATCGGGCTACGCGACCGACTCAGATCTGTGATAGCATCCATTCATCTGAACACACAACTGACATAGAAGCTGATCCCAACTCAACGTTAATGGATCGGTGTATAGAAACAAAACTACACAACTCCAAAATTACTATATCATGCATAAAGCCAATACTCTTTCGTTTATATAATCAATTTTCTGTATTTACTCAGTAACGCGTATACATGATAATGTGCTATCAGTGTGAATCTAGCTGTGCTTGAATAAAGGCTGTTCTTTGCTTCAAAGATACCATCTGTGGGCGTCTCTCTTACGCGTCCAGGTCTCTTGTAACGGATCACAGACATGTGGCATTGTATCGAACACTCGACCGGCTGACAACACCGCTGTACACGACGTGGAAGAACCAGACGTCGGCAGTGTCATTAACGTGTTTGACAAGGACACACGGGATACTTGAAGCATCTTCAAAACGCATGCGCGCAGATATGCACTTCATAAAATTGTGCTGAGGTTGACAGGGACATGTTTATGACGTGCTTCGGCTACCGTTAGTCATTGTGCAGGTGGCCGGTCCTCGATTAGAGAGAGAGAGAGAGAGAGAGAGGGGGGGTGGTGGGGGGTATTTAGTGCCCCTCCAGTCAAGGTGTTTAATGTTTTATTGCCTTCGTTTCATGCATATGTGATATTAGAGACAAAATACTTAAAAATCACTTGAAGGGGCTGCATTTAATATTACACAACGAGACCTTCATTCTTACAATATGACTACATCTAGTCCTTAATATCACACAGACAGTAGTTGATGCACCAGACTTTCAAGTTATAAATTATTTTTATAATATTATGATATTTGTTCCATAAATATCAATCTTAATCCCCGTGAAGATCAGGGTTTCAATTGGTCTTCAGCAACCCATGCGTGTCGTAGGAGGCGACTAACGTGATCGGGATCGACTTGGTTGATGTATGTCATTGTATCCCAATTGCGTAGATCGATGTTCATGTGTCAATCACTGGATTGTCTGATCCAGATTCGATTATTTACAGACCACCGTCTTATAGCCACTTGCGACAACCATAGGTTGCTGGGGACCCATTTTAACCGGAGTCCTCACGGGATGAACTGCAATTCATGAATATTTTCATGAATCATGAACACATTATCCGCTTCACCACAGCTGAACTCGAACGTTTCAAAGAAACAATTCCACGATGAAGATATATGTCATCTCCGTGAACACAAGTCATCATACTTCACTCCGAGTGTCGGCTATAGCTATAAGCTCATACTGTCATTGTTCCTGAACCTATTGTTGCCCAGATGTGGGATTTGATACCACTCAAATTTAAAACTACTCATTATAATTGACCCCGGGAGCGAGACACAGAAAACTAACTAGTGATTTTCGCACCTGATGAAATCTACATTGTGTGTAATTAGTGAACAATACGATACATTACCTGCCACTTAGATATCAATTAAGTGCCAGGGGTGTGGGATCAGCTGAGAGTAGATTGTTGTGGGGTGGTGACACGTTGTGTACCTGGCGGTCTACACAGTGCTGCACCTCGCCACAAGCTGGAGGATATGTTACCTAGAACACATTCACCTACAACTTGCCATCAACCACCACAATGGAGAACTGCTACACTGTAGACGATTGCCAAGTTGGTTTAGCACGATGCCATATGACATGCCTCCAGGAAGGGCAGAATGAATAACAGTGGCATTAACTACAGCAATATGAGGTTATAATTAAGACAATGACATTGTATGCATTTTTGCTAAACTATACACCCATGCAAAAGTATACATCTATGTTTAATGGTGGCTAAAAATAAAACAAACACAAAATGGTTATTCGATGGTGATATATTTGATACGAGTGTCATACTTGCGTTTTGGACCTTAAGTTTGCAGTGTTTGGGCGACTGTTTTTAGTCTTGTAACGTTTTGATAACGTTTGTAATTTTTTTGTCAAATCCAAATTTCAACTTTCTTTTGCCCGTCAGTTTCTATCTACATGGGGACAAAAGAGAAAATGTAAGCGTACTGCGCAACACATTATGCGATAAAGACTTATAGAAGGTAGGGATTGAGGTGCGAAATTGTGGGAGACGACACCTTACCCCTGGTGTATTTATAGATTATGGGTGTTTGATAGTAAAAAGGCATACACTAATTAATTCATGCAAAACTTCAGGATCACGTGAGGGGGCACGGGTGGCCCAGTCGTCTAAGGCGCCGCGACTCACTGTGTAGAGTTGCGCCCCTTGGGCACGCCAGAAACCTATGATTGTGGGTTCGAATTCCGGTAGCCCGATTATGTTTCTAAGTTTGTCAGCACCATACCCGTGCTCGTTGGTTTCACCAAAGTGGTAAACGTCTGAGACCTGCATCATTTCGGACTTTCCTCCCACAATAAGTTGACACGCCGCGATATAACTGGAACACTCAGGATCACGTGAGCAACGTTTGTGTGTGAAACCAGCACAAGCTTGAAGCGCTCGTTAAATCTCAAACAGTCAAATGCATGGGTACATGCATTCCCTTAGGAATTCAGGAAAAGCATGAATCCGTAGTTGTCCAGAGGCTACGCTTCATGCAACCACTATTTACCCAGAATATATACACCCTCTTGCTCTTTCTGTCAGAATGCGACGTCCTCAGACGTTGGAGGCATCACAGATAGAAAGGCAGTTCTTATTTTACCACTGACACAGAAATCTAAAAAACAACCGTTGTGACTTTGTGACTTTAAGAGTTCGGCATTATGGGGGTAAAACTAGGACTGGTCGGCTTGGAGTCAGTATACTGACTGAGTTGGGTATTTATGGTATCTCAGCGGGCTGGCATTATAAAATTCGCATTTGTCCGAACGAGTACACACACCCGTACATGCACGTCGCTATATAAGTACAATAATCTTGGACGCGACGTTAAACACCATTTCACCTCACGACCTCAGACCAGTGTGTTTGTGGCAGGAGAAGGAATTCATAGTAAATTGAGTTTTTATCCTTTATTTTCTTTTAAGAGACAAGGAAGTATTATGTTGTGTCGGGATTATCAGGTGAGTACTGTGATAACACGCAGTCCTCGGGGACTCTTGGGAAGAAGATCTGGTCCTCAGAACCCGCGAGGTACAATGAGTAGCTTGCTGAATGTCATCATGTATTCAAGTGCATTGCATAGTATTCACGTTCACCTAAATGCGAAGTCCAAGTGGGAAATATCATATCCCTGAGAAATAATTGAAATCTACATCCCTCCTAAAAATGCCAAGGCGATAAAATAATTGACGTGGGTGTTGGAGTGTTTACGAAGTGATAGCTTATTGTTATTAAGGTTATAACAATTTGATTTGCTTGTGTAATGTGACTTCACGAGACTTTACAGTTTAAGGAAGCACGTGAATCATGATAACTCCATGCACGAGCAGTTCCATGTAATCCGCGTGCATTCCACTGTAATGTATGAGACTAATATGTCAGGTTTAATTACAGATGCGTGTCACGTGCATCAAATCTTGCTAATTTCAATACCAAGTTTTAGTTTGGGATACAGTGGGACGTTTGTCCTCGTGCACTGGACCGTGTAATGTTGGGCTGTCTTTAAGTCAGGATTTGACCCAATCTCCTATTTTTTACCTTTCCATGTCAAATTCAGATTTGTCACAATATTGTGTTAATTGGCCTTAGTAGATAATCCCCTGGACAAACGTTGTTCTTAGCCTCTGCAACAGCTTTCTGGCGGGAGTGTTTGCTTACTCAAGTATCAAGGTGAAGTACTAATACGTTTCCCTCACCACCAAGCTAAACCCGGAAATACATTTAGGACGATGGTATCGGATATTCCATTAATCATGTTTAAAGTTTTCTACGAAAGATTTAGTTTCACTTGAAGCTCCCGAAAATACCTTTAGCAGTATTTGGTTTGTACAAGGATACACCCCCACCCCAACCCCCTTCCTCCTGCAACTGCACGCGGGAAGTTATTTAACTTGTCATGTAATAATACAATATTAAATCGATTTTCAACATTTTTTGTGAACTTAATTTTAAAATATGTAATATTCCTTTTTACAAGTTTTATTTTTCAATGACATTGAATAACGTCGTTGGTTTAATCTAATTTGGTAAAACTCATAAAATAATATCTATAAAATTACAACGTAATCCAGTTAGGAAAACATGTATGCCCCGCCCCTTCGTTCCTATTGGCTAGCTGTTTGCTACCCTGAGCTGTGATTGGTTTGAGGGCTGGGTGACATACGTCAATCAAAGCTTGTGCGAACGCAGTGTTTATACAGAGAAGGGAGCGTCGTGTGTATATAGTTTGACCAGCTGAGCGGGCTGCACGCGGAGGTCAGTGTCTACATACACTACACTGTACAGTGACGCGTCGACGACACACTTTACTCACGGATGTATAAGTGTGTTTCTATTACTCTGACCTACCCCAGTCTTCAGCATGGAGGCATTCATCTACCTGGGATTACCTGTCTTGCTAATTGTGTCCTTTCCTGGGACATTATCACAGAAGCTCTGTAGTCAGTGTGACTGTACAATCAGGTAAGTTATTGATTGAACTTGAGTATACATGTACTTATCTGCGAAATGGTTACTTTGCATTGTTTTACGTTTCGATATTTGCGACATGTTCACTTATATGCATACTCTTATATCCAACAGGAAAAGTGGAGTAGATCTGCTCACGTACACATGAACTAAGATAAAACAATTCTCATTTTAAGCTACAGAATGTTCCTGATTCTTAAGGCGTTGGTTGATTTGCGGTCATATCGTATGGATGTGAATAGGAAATGTAGTGATTTACCCGAGTTTATCACCTGTGTGTCGGTATTGCCAGGTGTATCACGCGTTGACACAACGCTCTTGTCCACACACAGGTCGAATTCTCGCAATGACAAACTTTCAGCCCTCGATATCGACCACTATTACCTGTTCAATTGTAGCACCGGTTTCGTCAAGGCCAGTGGTTGTATCGTGTGTAGGGTCACTGACGTCTGTATGTGTACGCAAAGGAACCTGCACGGCCCCTTGTTCTGACCTGCACGGCCCCTTGTTCTGACCTGCACGGCCCCTTGTTCTGACCTGCACGGCCCCTTGTTCTGACCTGCACGGCTCCTTGTTCTGACCTGCACGGCTCCTTGTTCTGACCTGCACGGCCCCTTGTTCTGACCTGCACGGTCCCTTGTTCTGACCTGCACGGCCCCTTGTTCTGACCTGCACGGCTCCTTGTTCTGACCTGCACGGCCCCTTGTTCTGACCTGCACGGCCCCTTGTTCTGACCTGCACGGCTCCTTGTTCTGACCTGCAGACACCTGTGTGTCAGAACCGTTATGATGGGGAGAGCAGAGACCCGAGGGGAGGGGTGGCGGAGGAGCATTTGTGAGGATGGACTGGTATCTTAGCATCTCATGTTAAACAACGATATATATATGAAACTTATTAGAACACCAATCGAGATTTCGTAATATTGGGTATACTGTGCGATTATACGGACGCTTCATGTAATTCCCTCTGTGGATGATCACGCAATTTGAGATGTTTTTACATATATAATTTGGTGGATGTATAGCAATGTCATAACATATATTGTTTTACATTCTTCGTGCTTCGGCAACAACATGAGTGTTCTCTTGCCCTTCGGTAATGTCACGTTCTCACTCTGGTGGAGTCACTGGCCTCCAAACAAATCGGTGCAGGATGAGGGGAAGTTATGGCAACAGCCGCCCATTATTTACCTTGACGCTATTAGCTGCACGTTGATCACATAATATTGACACGGTGAGGGCTATCTCTCGTGTCCAATGTCAACAGCTAGTGCACTCCCAGTCATGTATGCTGGGGGGGGGGGGGGGGGGGGGGGGGGAGGCGTGGGGAGGCGTAATGGTGTTGGCGCTCCTTCCTTGTCGTGATATTGGAGTAATATTGCAACGGCGTAAATTCATTCTCACTAAGTATCTTCTAAACTGGTTCATTGAAGGTTATAGCTGGAATACAGTGTTCATAGCTATCGGGTACTGGCGTTCCAGTGTTAATGACAGTGTATCTGGACCCGTTTGTGTACATGTTGTATAAAGGCGATCGTGCGATCACTCTGATATACACACGTGGTCTGTTTGCCTCGTCATCGTGTTATCATCTTGTACCAGGTGTATTTGGTCGCCACTAGCCGTCTTATCACATTGTCCAGGTGTAGACATCACAATTACACCTGACGCAGCTCTTGACTTGTAAACTCCCCAGTCCCATGTACAGACACGGGTTTACACACAGATAACCCTGACAACTGGATACAGTCACCACAGAGATACGGGTATAATCTACACTCACAAACCCACAAGCAATCAACGTAAACCACCAATACGCTAACCTTGAGACGACACGACAATAATGTGTTCTTACATCTACAGATGCGCTGGGTATAGCTTCGATTACTCCATACACCATGTAGATGCATTTATTTTGTTGATGTACATTGCATATGTTTATTTTCTTTCAGTGACCCCGATGGCGGTGATAGAGCTATCCTGAACGTCAAGCCTCGATGTGAGGAGGGTCGTGTCACGTGGCTTAATGCTTACGGTGCTGTTCGCATGGAGCTTGCAGCACCCACTGCAGGAGATGTGAGATTCTGTATCCGGGTACAGAGTGACAACGTTAACACGGTTGTATCCCAAGAAACGGTTGCAAAAATTCCTGGAAATTACAGACTAAAAATTCTCAATGACGTTGAAGTTCGGTTATCACCCTTGTTTACAACGCGAGGTCAAGGCAAGGAGTACTGTATATCTGGTTCCGGTCCAGTGCACCTGTACTTAGAAACAGAACGTAGTGACGAAGATGTTGGTGTGGCGAGAGTCAAAGTTCACTATAACGCTGAGACAATAGCCAGCAGTCTTCGCTACAGCCCAATGGAAGGTGAGAATGTATGCCTTGTGATTTGTAAAGTCACTTTACATATGTATTTCAAAAGAAAGAAGATCCTGGGTAGAATAGGTCTTCAGCAACCTCAACATACCGTAAGAGGCGACTATGCTTGTCGTAAGAGGCGACTAACAGGATCAGGTGGTATTGCTCGGTGACGTGGTTGAAACATGTCATTGTATCCCAATTGCGTGGATCGATGCTCATGACATCAATCACTGGATTGTCTGGTCCAGACACGAATGTTTACAGACCGCTGTCATATGACTGGAATATTTGTAAAAATCAACAAACAAATAAATAGGTCTTAATCGGAAGAGAGGGTTAATAGTAGGGGAAGCTGTGCGGACGTAGCAGAGAACACGAGTGTTTGTTGTTGGGTGAAGCACCAGACTCTCTTGTCTCCAGCAGCATATCACTATCAGAACCGGGTATTTTCTTTCAACGAAAAAAATACATTACTGCCTGAATGTTAGCCTCACGTACGAATCTATCACCTGGCTGTTTGTTATGAGCCTCTTAACGGGATGATGCTCATCGCCGACTGTCGCCGCAACCATTTCCTTCTCGGTTATTCTCGCGTGACTGCCATCAATCATATGACATGCGCAGTAACGACCATCAACTCGCTAACAGCCATTGTTTAGACTTCCTGCAAACCATTATATATGTAAGATAACCCCAAAATGGTGAATGTCTTGTACTAAGGTTTGTTTTAACTGCCCCCAATGGTCGCTTACAGCAGTATTGTTCATTAACTGTCACTAATGATCACATTATTGTGACACGTGAACCTGGAATACATTGTCACATTGTGAACTATTGCCTATATACCTAGCCTTTGTCATACGCGACCCAGCGTGTTGATAGCACGTGTCCAATATGTATTGTACGTCATACGTCATGCTTTTGTTGGTTCGCGTTTTTGAACTACACGCTCCTGTGTTGTATCTCAAACAAATCGATCACATAAAAATGTGGATCGATTGCTATGCACGAAATGGAAATATTTAAGTACCTGCTCAAGAAGAAATGTTTTTGTTTTAAATTACTTTTTACCTCGCTGTAGCACACATCTGCTATTTTGGCAGTAGGTCGGACTTGGACCTCGATCAACTCGGAACAATTTGCAGGTTTAGGGGTCGTGTTATGTATCCTTGAACCGTTTAACCAAGCTAATAATTTCCCCACTTTTTGTTCTTCAGAGTGTCGCCCGTGCAGTGATGCCGAGCTGCTCAAAGCTTACTGTTCCAGCGATTTTGGTAAGGACTTAATGCTTCATTCTGAGAAGAAACTACCGACAACATAACGACATACAATATTATTAAGCGTAGAAACTATTCTAGGGTTTGAATTTGGTTTATGTACTCAGGTTCTCAGAGTTTGTATTCTCGTCCTAAAAGAAATACCATAATTGCAGCCCCTCACAATTTCAACCTTCTCTGCCATGGGTTTGATTACTGACAGACCTTTGGCTTGACCTTGCCATGATTTATAGACTGAGGCCGATTACTTGTGTGGACATCAGTACCCTGATAATCTGTGCTGACCCAGTCGTAAGGCCACATACAGGTGCGACGCGGCGACTTCAAAGCTTGATCTGATTAGAGGAGCTAGCCAAATCTGGGCATTCCATTGTTGCCCGGATGTAGAAGTCATAGGTCTCGGAGAATTCCAACAGCTACATCCTAAGATGATGCGGACATTTGATGTTGAAAGGTTCAGATGCCATATGAGCGGTCCTAATCGCGTGTTAATGACTTGTACGTGACCGACAAAGGCTAAGGCATTTGTATTTTGTGTACCTGATATAACAAGAACACTACACACTTCTCTTTGTCAAATATCAGCATTTCGTCTTTCTTCTATTGCAGTTGCCATAGGAACAATCGATGACATAAACCACGATGACGACATCAGTCACATCCAGGTGTCTGTGACTAAGATGATATCCCAGAGAGAGGCTATCTTCCAGAAGCCAGCAGTTGGATGGACCCGTCCCCACGAACTGAAGGGTGTGGTTCACGCCCCCGTCATGTGCGGCATCAGACACGGGGAGGGGGAGTTCTTGTTCACAGGCCGCGTTCGTCTTGGTCGACCAGTGTTACAGTGTGCCCCGCGCTATGAACAGTGGAAGAGTGTTCTCGAGATGGCGCTGAACAACGAATTACTGGAATGTTCATATGGTTGAGGTGCTGTGAACGGTGGAAGTCAATCCTTCCCGATGAGCAATGCAGATTGCCGTTACACTCTGCACGGATACGTCACCCAAGGCAACGTCAATCCCTACCGATGAGCGTTCAGATTGCCGTCACACTCTGCACGGATACGTCACCCAAGGCTGCGTCAATCCCTACCGATGAGCGTTCAGATTGCCGTCACACTCTGCACGGATACGTCAGCCAAGGCTGCGTCAATCTCTACCGATGAGCGTTCAGAATGCCGTCACACTCTGCACGGATACGTCAGCCAAGGCTATGTCAATCCTCACCGATGAGCTACGCAGATTGCCGTCGCACTCTGCACTGACATGTCACTCAAGGTCACCAGTCAGGCCGATCAGTGCGGATCCAGTACCATACTGAGATTATGTAGTTTGATCATGATCAAGACGAGGCGATACTAACGTAGACTGAACAAATCCCACAACGAAGCGACTCAGTCCTTTCGAGACCGATGGTTAAATTCAGAATTACAGCCCGACCGTGCGTCTACACCGGCCTAGATGCCCAGAAGTGGCAAGCTGTAACCGTACGTAGTGGACATGTTGGCCACACATGGCCTTGTGTCCACCAGACTACAAGACGAAGATCACACCAATGAATGCAGCTATTACCCGGAATCTGTTCACGGAGATGAAATGTGAACACATTGATGTTACACGGGGACACCTTGAGAGATGTTGATTTCTAATGCTATAGCACTATCCTATAGCTATATCGTACGTAAAATTTTATTTTTGATTTATGTCTACACGAATTTGTTTTGTTTTATACAGTGATTAAAATGATAACTACAAATATGTGTTGAGTGTTGAGTTCTAGTTGCCTCCTGGATGATATGAAGAACGTTGTGTTTGTTAAAACCGAGGACTACAAATACGACTTCATGTGGTTGACATAGCATATATGCTGTACTCTCTCAACTAGTTCTGTGTCAACCGTGTTTATTTCTTTTTTCATAGTGGAGAATGTTTATTTCCTTCCGGACGAATATGTAAAATCACATTTCCGGTTCCGATTTTTACACAAAATGTTGGCCCGTGAATATCCGGGCTAGAATAGGTCGTCAGCAACCCATGCTTGCCATAAAAGGCGACTATGCTTGTCGTAAGAGGCGTCTAACGGGATTGGGTGGTCAGGCTCGCTGACTTGGTTGATGCATGTCATCGTATCCCAATTGCGTGGATCGATGCTCATGACATTAATCACTGGATTGTCTGGTCCAGACACGAATGTTTACAGAACGCTGTCATATGGCTGGAACATTGCTGAGTGCGACGTAAAACAAGAAATCTAACAAACAAACAAATATGTCAATCGGGTTAATAATAGGGGAAGCTGTGCGCACAGAGCATAGAACACGAGTGTTTGTTGTTGGGTGAAGCACCAGACTCTCTTGTCTGCAGAAGCATATCACTATCAGAACCGGGTAGTTTCTTTAATTCTGCAAGGATACTCTCGTGTGTGCATATGCGTTTGTAAAAACACCTGACGGAACTGATTTCTAACACTGCACTTGGGACCTGGGTTGACGAGCAAAGGGGAGTTACCGCCACTACCTCGGGAGGTACCACACTAGCGAATCCCATATACACTCTAAATAGACCCCGTAGCACATGCTTCAACCACTGCACTAACCCATCGCCCAGGTGAGGTTGTCACATATAGGTGAGCTACAGTGTCTTGACGCCATTTTTCTATCCAGGGTTAAACTTTCATCACAAATGATGTTTGCTTTTTTTAACGCCGCACTCATCAATATTCCAGCCATGACGGCGGTCTATAAATAATCTGGAACAGACAATCACTGATTGACATCATGAACATCGATCCACGCAGTTGAGATACGATGACATGCATCAACGAAGTCAGCGAGCCCGACCACCCGATCCCGTTAGTCGCCTTTTACGACAAGCATAGTAGCCTTACGGCAAGCATGGGTTGTTATAGACCTATTCTAACCCGGGTCTTCACGGGTCTCATCGATGACGTAACGTATCTTTTAAAGTAAGACGGTGAACGGTGTACAGTTGTATGAGTGCCCTCACGTCACCACTGTGCTGGATTCTCGCGCAGCAGCAACAGACACCAGGTACATCTCTAAATGTGTAACTTGTGTCTACATGTCTACAAACAGGCATCTGCACATTACCGACCCAGTGTGTGTGGGAAGTGTGCATGTCGCCATGGGTATTTTGTCCGCTCACCCGGCAGTGTATTATATGCGCATATACTCGTGTATATTGTGTGGGTTCACCGGGAACTGTATTATATGTACATGTCGCCAGACGCTGTCACTGCAGTTCTCTGTTCCCACGGTGTGTATGGCAGAAGGGAGGGGGCGGCGGGAGGGGGGACGACTAGCTCGTGACATAACGCTCTCTGTTAAATGGTTTGTGTCATCTTTATGGGGCTATGTTCACGTTACAAGATTTCCTATACTTGCCCATCATGAACATGAAACACACCCACCCTCGGTATTCAACCAGGGGAATCCAGGTGTTTAAATAGCTGTATCGTTGGGATTATTTCAACTGAGAAACATACATCTATCTATTTAGGTTATAATTTCTGTTGAAAGGCTTATTTCGTAGGGACACAGAACCGATCAGCAGCACATTTGAGTAGAGATAACAAAGATAATAAGAACTAACGACATTTTTTTTATTAAGCAATTAAAACATATTTTTATCCTAGACATCTCGGTGCCTTTTATATAAGCATTACAAATTTGGAACGCGAAACTGGTGCGAGGACATTCCTTGGTGTATAAATGAATAACTACACTCGTGTTGATCTATGGCCATGCCTGAGTTGTTCTTTACCACCTTTACGATGAGTTTGTTCGTGTCAAAAAATACCACATTATCTCTACAGCGCTCATAGGACAGTAAATGGCAATGATCTCTTTGAAAAGGGAGAATAACAAGCAGCGATGTCCTGTTAATCTCGCTGGTGATGAGATACATACGGTGTTGTGTGTTGTTCGCGACGCCCGATATCATAAAGACCTGTCATAATGACGGCCCAACCCTGACAGGAGCGCCACCTGGTGGGGCGGAGGATGTAATGTACATTAGGAGGTACTTCTGACCCACTCGACTCGGAGAAGGCCCGGAGCGTGACCGTCCTGGCGTTGTCGACACTGTAAAAGTGTGATATATCTCAGCATCACAAACTTCTCAAGACGACTAGACCACGACACGACGTTTAAATCTGAGTTTTAACATTTGAGCCAAATGTTGAAAGCCTGCTGTGGTGATGACTCGATCTTTGACCGCAATATCTCCCTTGGCGCCCTTCACCTCGCTATGGAATCTGGTCATGTTTTTTCGAGTGTTGTGCCTCATTGTGCCCATCTGGCTGATAAGATGGAAGAAACGTTGTTTTTTTTCCTTTGGATGAAATTGACTTCGATCCCGTCAGCTAAGTGAACCCAGCGTGCCCCTCCCATTTCTATACTTCTTGCTGATGCTTGCACCCCTTGCACCCATTCCAGTATACCACTACACGCTTTACCTCAGTATTCAACTTATACACAATAGTGTACTTTTATATATACATGCTTCACCTCAGTATTCAATTTATACACAATAGGGTACTTTTATATATACACGCTTTACCTCAGTATTCAACTTATACACAATAGGGTACTTTTATATAAACACACTTTACCTCAGTATTCAACTTATACACAATAGGGTACTTTCATATATACACGCTTGACATCAGTATTATACTAATACAAAATAGGGTACTTTTATATATACATGCTTCACCTCAGTATTCAACTTATACACAATAGGGTACTTTTATATATACACGCTTTACCTCAGTATTCAACTTATACACAATAGGGTACTTTTATATATACACACTTTACTTAACTATTCAACTAATACACAATAGGGTACTTTTATATATACACACTTTACCTCAGTATTCAGCTTATACACAAAAGGGTACTTTTATATATACACACTTTACCTCAGTATTCAACTTATACACAATACGGTACTTTTATATATACACACTTTACCTTAGTATTCAACTTAAACACAATATTGTTCTTTTTTATATACACGCCTTACCTCAGTATTCAACTTTTATACACAAGGGTACATTTATATATACACGCTTTACCTCAGTATTCAACTTATACACAATAGGGTACTTTTATATATACACACTTTACTTAACTATTCAACTAATACACAATAGGGTACTTTTATATATACACACTTTACCTCAGTATTCAGCTTATACACAATAGGGTACTTTTATATATACACACTTTACCTCAGTATTCAACTTATACTCAATAGGGTACTTTTATATAAACACACTTTACCTCAGTATTCAACTTATACACAATAGGGTACTTTTATATATACACGCTTTACCTCAGTACTCAACTTAAATACAATGGGGTATTTTTATATATACACGCTTTACCTCAGTATTCAACTTATACACAATAGGGTACTTTAATATATACACGCTTTACTTCAGTATTCAACTTAAACACAATATTATACTTTTATATATACACGCCTTACCTCAGTATTCAACTAATACACAATAGGGTACTTTTATATATACACGCTTTACGTCAGTATTCAACTTATACACAATAGGGTACTTTTATATACTCATGCTTTACCACAGTATTCAGCTTATACACAATACTGTACTTTTATATATACACGCTTTACTTCAGTATTCAACTTAAACACAATATTGTACTTTTTATATATACACGCCTTACCTCAGTATTCAACTTATACACAATACGGTACTTTTATATATACACGCTTTACCTCAGTATTCAACTTATATATAATAGGGTATTTTTATATATACACGCTTTACCTAAATTTTCAACTAATACACAATATGGTACTTTGATATATACAGGTTTTACCTCAGTATTCAACTTATATACAATGGGGTATTTTTATATATACACGCTTTACCTCAGTATTCAACTTCTACTCAATATTGTACTTTTATATACACACACTTTACCTCAGTATTCAACTTATACACAATAGGGTACTTTTATATATACACGCTTTACCTCAGTACTCAACTTAAATACAATGGGGTATTTTTATATATATACGCTTTACTTCAGTATTCAACTTATACACAATAGGGTACTTTATATATACACACTTTACCTCAGTATTCAACTTATATGCACAAGGGTACATTTATATATACACGCTTTACCTCAGTATTCAACTTATACACAATAGGGTACTTTTATACATACACGCTTTTCTTCAGTATTCAACTTAAACACAATATTGTACTTTTATATATACACGCCTTACCTCAGTATTCAACTTATATACACTAGGGTACATTTATATATACACGCCTTACCTCAGTATTCAACTTATACACAAAAGGGTATTTTTATATATACACACTTAACCTCAGTATTCAACGTATACACAATAGGGTACTTTTATATATACACGCTTTACGTCAGTATTCAACTTATACACAATAGGGTACTTTTATATACTCATGCTTTACCACAGTATTCAGCTTATACACAATAGGGTACTTTTATATATACGCTTTACCTCAGTATTCAGCTTATACACAATAGGGTACTTTTATATATACGCTTTACCTCAGTATTCAGCTTATACACAATAGGGTACTTTTATATATACGCTTTACCTCAGTATTCAGCTTATACACAATAGGGTACTTTTATATACTCATGCTTTACCACAGTATTCAGCTTATACATCAAAAGGTTATACATTTTATACACACTTTA